CATCGGATGATACGAAATACGTTAACGTATTTTTGTTATTGTAGTTTCAACGAAGTAAATTCCCATTACGCCAAATCATTAATGATATTATCTGCTTTATGCTGCTTATAGCCTAACAGGCTGTTACAGTTCCTTGCGGACGGATAGATGAGCTAACGGGCTTAGCGTGAGAGGATTTGCTAACACTAGCCCTAGCCAGAGCAGCGCTTCGCAGAATCTACCTCCGGATCTACTACAGGACCCACTGAGAAAATCCGGCGAGAAACTCAGTGTGCTTATCCGAAATAAGTGACTGGCCATTTACTACAGGATATCTTTTCATGTTTTAAGTTCGCAATTATATGAGGGCGTAGGAAACACATGTACTTTAACTGGATTAGTAAGACTGTTGTTTAATTAGAGAACTTACCTATATTTAAATTGATGATATAACAAGTGTACACGGAAAAGATCAGCACATTTCATTTCATTTTACATTATTATTATTGGTACGTATTATTTTAGCGACATTTTTGTATGATTTACAAATCAGCTTTACGTTGTAAACTGTGATTATTCTCCAATATTGTCTTTTACTGTTATACTTGATGGAATATTGAGGCGTCACAAATTAACATGATTTGCTCGGTTATTGGTTTTTATTAGACAAGGGTTTTGACGTACGTGTTTAATTTATTACCACAATTAATTAGTCATTTAACGTATTATTAAAACGCGTAGAAACTAATACGCTAAATCGACCACAAACATGAATGGCAAACGTGTAAGCTCTGATAAGGAGCATTAAGTGGTTTGCTTACTCCACTTGAATCACCACACGTCATCTCGGATCCTCCCGATCCACTAACGGTGCTTTTAGGTACTTCAAGCACCGGTCACCGTTCTCGTCGAACCCGTCGCTTGCGACGAAGGACCTGACGAGTAAATTAACTCTCAGACACAGCCCACTGAGTTTCTCGCCGGATCTTCTCAGTGGGTCGCGTTTCCGATCCGGTGGTAGATTCTGCGAAGCACGACTCTTGCTAGGGTTCGTGTTAGCATCGTCGTCAGGTTTGAGCCCTGTGAGCTCACCTACTAGCCACGGTTACGCTGGAATAGCCGTCTCAGGCTACCAGCTTAAGTAGGAAAAAAAAAATGAATCACCATACACCATACACATACGCACAGACGAGTTACTCGGAACGAGCTATTTAGAGTTTTTGTTATTAATTAACACGTATTCACGAAGATGGCGCAACGAACAAACAAACACGTTCATTCGTAATTCTTCGAAGTGCCCATACGAAAGTGGCTTACGTATTCATGACAAATGATAATCGCACGACTTAATACTCACCGGGTCACCCGTTCACGATCCAATTATATTTTGTTCAGTACACAAATGTAATTACGAATGCCTCAAATAAGGCAGAGCGGAGACGGAATGTGTGTGTAATATGAATAAAACATGTCCGACTGAAGACAAGGAATTTCAAGAATCGTGTTCAAGAATGAAAAAAAAATGACCTATAAAATTTCGCTATCAATCTACATTAGACGAAATTTATCGCATATTAATACTGTCAATGAGCATCGTTAACCTTAATTTGATTGTTCGTTTGGGGAGCAGATCAATCAATATATTTTTAAAATGCTGGTCATGAAATCGATACACAGTTAAGTCAGTTAACTGGTCGAACAAGATTGAAGTATCATCAATTATTGAAATGAGTTTAATACAATAAATGTTGTTTAACGAAATTTAGAGCATCGGGTCAGTTGTACATAGATAAAAATCTATTAAACGCATTCCGTACAAAACTAATTTTCGTATATAACACTAGAAATCGCAATGATGATTTATGTTACACGAAAGAAATCGTGTAGATCAATTAAGATCGTTGGTTACTTTGTGTGTGTGTTCATTCTGTTCGATATTTTTGAGAGAGTAATTGGTTTATAAGCAGATTTTCTACTGCCCGATAAAACGAATGTTTAAGATAAATAAAATGGTATCAATAAAGTAATTTAAGTAATTGTTTCATTTTAATAAAAATTTGGGTAGGTACCAACATCCTTTTTAACTCGGTCGGATAACAGATATGCTGGTTATGGTTTGAAGAGTATGAGTGAAGAATCACCGAGTTTCTCGCCGGATCTTCTTGGTGGGTCGCGTTTCCGATCCGGTGGTAGATTCCGCGAAGCACTAGCTAAGGCCAGTGTTAGCAACACTCCCGGTTTGAGCCCCGTGAGCTCACCTACTAGCTCGGTAATTCTAGAATAGTCCCTTGAGGCTACTAGAATAGCTAGGGAAAAAAATGAGTGAAGAAACAAATGTGATGAGAAGAGCTGTTATCTATATATTAATACGTGAAACAAAAACTTTGTATCCCTTTTTACGAAAATCGCGCGGACGGAGACGTATGAAATTTTCCACACTTATAGAGAATATAGAGAAGAAGTGCACAAAGCTAATATTTTTTTTAAATTAATGCATTAAAGATACATTAAATCGATAAAGAAAACATTATACACACTACGTACCATGTATTTGACGCACACACGCATGCATACTATTTTCAAGCTTTTGTTCTTGACGTCTGTTGTCAAATTGAGAATATATTAAATATTGTTTGTCTTTGTTAATATTTTTTATAGTGTAGTCTTGGCGAAAGTTGTGATTATAGATGTATAAAATACAATCATAATAGTGTACAAATCTATTATACAATTCCAATTAATTATAGTCGAATTTCGACTACTACGGGACCTCTAGTACTATACAATTTTGAGACTTAGAGTTTATGTATCGAAAAGCGTGGCGACATTTACGTTGTGATGTAAACTCCAGTGACCACTTCCTATCTGGTAGACCGTGATCACTCGTATAAGCAATATTGTGTTATAAAAATCAAATCAAGTCTATATCGATATTGTTATATTTTCTCATCTGGTGTTGGAGCTCTTATCTGGGACTAAGCAGTGATTCACACCGCATACATTTCAATGCGGCCACGATAAATTTTACGACTGAAGAACTTTTCGTCAAACCTTTTGTTAATAAAGTATTCAATTCGTATAAATTCTCGCATTGGTATTTTTAGCTTTCGCCGTCAAGTGTATGATGGAGGCCTTAAACCTTTCTGTCAATCATACATTAATTAATAATGCCAGTATTAATAAATCTTCTTGAACAGAATTGCGCACAAATACCGTTAGCAATCAGTAAGTATTGTTATTTGCCACATTTATTAGCAAAATAAAGCTTACAGAAAATTCATACTGATAAGCTGGAATAGTGTACATTATGATTCTCACAAGTGACAGCCCTCAATCTGGCAATAAACATAATCTATATCTATACTAATCTATACTATCTATATCTATACTAATATTATAAAGAGGAAAGATTTGTTTGTTTGTTTGTTTCGAATAGGCTCCGAAACTACTGGACCGATTTGAAAAATTCTTTTTCCATTAGAAGCCGACATTGTCCCTGATGAAAATAGGCTACTTTTTTCAAAAAAATTTTTTTATTTATTTCATGTGTGTTTTAATGTTTCCGAAGCGAAGCGAGGGCGGGTCGCTAGTTGACATAATAAACATAAACTACATTTGAGATTCACAATCGTTTCTTAATGCAACGAATACAATAGCTAATAATAATATGAACACAATGTCGATAAATTAAACAGTTTTTTTTTAAGTCAAGGCCTTCATAATCAGACGATGCATTTACTTGTTGATCAAAAAGTTTCGAAATCTTGTCATTCATGGAGTGATGTTAAATTGAGGTGAGCGTCTAGTTAGGTATTGTATCGAAGCGACAGCTGATGACCCCGGTCAAGGCACCGGACGCTGCTATCTAGTTTAATGTGAGATCATCTGTCGTCACCCACTCTAAGTGGATCCTTGACTTGACCGAACTCGTAACGAAAAACGTTAAACTCGACCGTAATTTTAATACAAACGATTTGTTCTCGGAAGAGATCATATCGGAGTTTGAAATACACGGTGAATTCAAAATGTACTCAATAATTTTTGTCGTCCCTTGATTCCAGTCGAAGTGCCCGTGTATTTGAAACAATCATAAATCGACCTATACCGTTTTTTTATTTATTTAAATTAAATAACCAAACTGACAATTATCATAGACATTTGACGCTTAATAAGAAATAGCTACGAATGAAATTTTAGTTATTAAACTAGAAAGCGTGATTTTAAATAGGTGTATGTGTATACCAATGAAAAATACATTTTGGCAACACAAGACAATGAAACGCTGCTCGCGGAGATAGAATGCGTGAAAGTATACATTTTGTCTCACAAGAAAGTAAATGTAACAATGATACGTAAAATTTTGTGTTTCCTTACTTACGTAACGGTAATTACAAAGAAGGCATTATGAATGAAAAAAAAAAACGAATAAGAGAGAGATATATACATTTGGGATAGTTAGATAAACGGTACAAGCAAACAAACGGGTTCTGTCGTGTTAAAACTTGAAACAGATATTTGATACGTGAATTAAAGTTTCCGTTCATTTTTTTGAATATAAATGTCCTAAAAAAAAGAAATCATGTCACAACTTTAGAAATCATAAAGACAAGTAGTCTCTATAACAAGAATTGGGATGTTTGAATTCAATAAATAGGTTACAACTGCTCAGTATGATCGCATCGAAACCCGAATACCGTTACGGTGTGAACATAGCAGCCCCTATGTAGCTGCCATCTCGCTTTGACAATAACCAACCCTCTATTCACGATCGTGGGATAATTAAATATTTATGTCGTGGCAAACAGTGCCACGAAAATACACTAATTTTATAGCCCCTTTATCAATTAATCTTAATTAAATAAAATATCTATTGTTTGATTTATTATGAATTCACACGGTTTGTGATTGCTTCCTTGACTGTACAAAAACTGTGTTGTATCAGTTGGCATATTAAAAAAAATGTAAATTAAGCAGGTTATAGTAACCGAAACTATTGAATTGTGAGCCTTTTTCTTACGTACCTTTAAAAATGACAATATCCTGAAGCGTTCAAAACATCCATGAAAATATAGGAACACTGGCACAAAACTGAATACAATTCTCCACAATGTGATCTGTTTATTCACCACAAACAATAAAATAAATCAATAATCAATATAATTAGTACTAAAACGGACGAGGGTTTCAATTGAGAAATTCAAAAGTTATAACATATTTCTTTTCTGTGAAACAAAGCACGAGATCGAAATTTTTTTTAAGCGAAACGACGTGCGATCCTCACGACAGCTCAACTCAGACTGCATCAGACGGTAGGAGAAGCGCGGTGCGGGGGGGTCACAGTAGGGGGCGCGCGTCAACCGCTAGAAAAGGCATCGAACCGGGGGCTTGTGTCACTACTGATATGATAACAAATGTATACAAAACTGACAGATCCTCGGTGAGATGAATATTTCTTTAAGTTTCACACCAATAAATCTATGTATTTATTCAAAAACCTATTTATTTTATCACGAAAAGTCACTGCCTATAAACGAACGAAACAGATGTCTATTGACAAAACGGCTTACGAAAATAAACAAGATGACTCTTTGGGTAAAGATACAGAGTGAATAATAAATCTTGTCGTGAAAGAGGGTTGACTTTGACCGTACGCGATGTTTATTGGGGATAGAAATTATAACGTTACGAAAGTTATACAGAAATAGTTTATTAAGTAGATCCTTTTATTAACTCCAGAATGTCTCAAGATCCATACCACACATGCTTTAAATTTTGTAATTGAGATTATCCACGATTTGTTTAATTTAAGAATCCATGTTAGATGGAATGGATTAATGCTACTTTATACTTATTCGTTAAGCCTCTACGATCAACATCACAAATATACAGGATGTGTTTTTTTTACCTAATGTATTTTTTGATGTGTGCTTTAAAACATAACAAATGAAATTACTATAAAGTGACATTATTATTTTTTTTAAACAATCACGCCACGTTAACTTGTCTCTTGGTAAGTTCGTAAAGAACTTGTGTTACAGGTACCAGATAACGGAAATAAATGTAAGATTTTTATTATACATATACATATATTTAAGATACATCCATAACCCTGGAAAAGACATTTATATTTATCATACAAATATCCTCCCTTGGCGGGATTCGAACCCGAACATGAAGATATGTTGCATTTAAAATTCTTGTTGCCCTACCAAGGTGTTATTCGATAGACCTTCGGGTCGAATATTAATGTTCTGTGCTTGTATTTATGTATATAATAATGGTAATGCAAGGTAGAGGGGGAAGAGGTCGACCGAAGAAGGCATGGATGGAGTGTGTGAATGACGATATGAGAGAGAGAGAGAGGAGGGAGTGTTAAGATGACGGCTGGTAGAAGAGAATGGAATAGAAAAATTGGCTGTGCCGACCCCAACTAGTGGGATAAGGTGGAGACAAAGAAGAAGAAGCTTGAATTTATGCAGAGTTCTACTTAAATTGTCATTAGCGCGATTCAGGTTTTGTTGGAATTTTCTATACTGTGACAGCTACATCACTTCCCCGTAAGACTGCAGGTCCTGCCAGTACCGAGATAACAGCACAATATGCGTAAAATTGATCGTTTAACCAATGATAAAGTTTTACTACTGACAATGGCTTGTATTGTAAGGTAGCAGGCGGTAGGCACACAGGTAGGTGCCTGCCTTGTTATGTCGCGATGAAGTCATATTTTGAGAGTTTAGATAACCGTTATGCAACTCAAAATGAACTTTAACCTTGTGTTTTAGGGTGGCAATCGCGCTGTCGTGTATATAGCCCTCCGCGATCACTAAAAGCTAGGAGAGCCATTTCCCACTACTATCTTAGCCCGCTGAGTTTCTCGCCGGATCTTCCCAGTGGGTCGCGTTTCCGATCCGGTGGTAGATTCTGCGAAGCACTGCTCTTGCTAGGGCCAGTGTTTGCAACACCTCCGAGCTCCGAAAGCTCACCTACACGCTAGGGTAACGCTGAATTAACCGCTGAAGGCTATCAGTATAGGTAGAAAAAAAATACCATCTACACTTTAAGCGAATTAAAAAAAAAACTTTTTTTTACAATAATTCGAGGTAAAATCCCTTTAGTCGCAAAAAGTTACTGGCGTATTTTATCGTCTTTCTCTCTAGAGAGAATATTTAAATTATTTATTTTACTACAATTTCTAAATAGCTTAAACTATTCGATTTATTTATTTTAAATGTACGTATGTTTATATTGTAGTATAGGTAATTAGCCTTAAAGTAAACTAACTTAACGAGTAATTAATGCCCGATCCCTTTTCGTCTAAGTTTAACATTAATCTTTACACTTAATAAGCCTACATTGGTGTTTTAGTATCGATTTACTTACTCAGCGATTCAAATTTAGTTCCTTAGAGTTTAGAGGAATCTGTTGTCGTAAATGTATCACTAATAATTAAGCAACAATTTTTTTTGAGGGATTCATTTTTATTACACATATTTTATTAAAAATTATATAGGTAGTCATAATTTAGGGCGGAGACTGAACTAAGATTTTTCTTTGATAATTTAATAAATTATTTCTGTTTAACTAAGAGGATTTTTTGCATTGCAATTAATACTGACTACTTAAAGAAATATTAATGAATTCATGTAACCAACAACAACTATGCTTTTTACAAAATGTTTCATTTAAAAAAACTTCAATAACCTTAGTAGCTATTGGTCGAAGAGCCGGTAAATTGCTCAATGATGCTTCTGTCTAATTTTATTGACCTAAATTAAAGAGCAAAGAACAAAATACGCACCGTCTGACTGGCATCTTCTTATTCAATATTAATATCATCATCAGCTTTTTTTTATTTTGTTTTATTTTATTGCTTAGATGGGTGGACGAGCTCACAGGCCACCTAATGTTAAGTTGTTACTGGAGCCCATGGACATCTATAACGTAAATGCCCCATCCACCTTGAGATATAATTTCTAAGATCTCAGTATAGTTACAACGGCTGCTCCACCCTTCAAACCGAAACGCATTACTGCTTCACGGCAGAAATAGGCAGGGCGGTGGTACCTACCCGCGCGGACTCACAAGAGGTCCTACCACCAGTAATTAAGCTAACTCGCTGTCGTCTAAAGTTTTCCCTACGGTCACAAAGCTCGCGAAATAATTACTCAAGTTAAAATTAAATCAGATCGAACATAAAAACTTAATGATTTAAAAAAGAAAAGCTAAAAGCCAAAGAAACAACAACCAAAGAGTGTAACAGAGCTGAACTAATTAACGGTGAAAAATTAAAACAAAACAAAAACGACAGTGTAAATCATTCAACGACATTGACTCACTCGTAAGTCACTTGGTCGAGTAGGATATCTGACGCCGACGGTACCGAAACGATCATAATTAAGTCACGATACAAGATTATATACTGCGCTATCTCTTAATTTGATCCTGCTTTATCTGAGCTTTTATCATTTCATTAAGAAGTATTAACTTTGATGACACGATTGTTCATCGTCGAATCACAAAAGATTGTAAATCAATCGCCAAACAAATTTAAAAAAATTGGTCACAGCTAACGAAGTAACAACGTTTAATAGATCTTAAAATATACTAGAGGTCCCGCAGTAGTCGAAATTCGACTATAATTAATTGGAATTGTAAGTTTGTACACTATTATGATTGTATTTTATACTTCTATAATCACAAATTTCGCCAAGACTACACTATAAAAAATATTAAAAAGACAAACAATATTTAATCTATTCTCAATTTGACAACAGACGTCAAGAACAAAAGTTTGACAATAAATAGTATGCATGCGTGTGTGCGTCAAATACATGGTATGTAGTGTGTGTAATGTTTATTGATTTAATGTATCTTTTATGCATTATTTAAAAAAAAAATTAGCGTTGTGCACTTCTTCTCTATATTTTCTATAAGTGTGGAAAATGTCATACTCCTCCGTCCGCGCAATTTTGGTAAAAAGGGATACAAAGTTTTTCCTTCACGTATTAATATATAGATTAAAATACATGTCGGATAAAAAAACTTATATCAATAATCTTCAATAGTGAAGTTTGGTGTGCTTTAATTCCATTATAGGACATTTCACTCAAACCTTTTGCTGCAACATTAGCGAAATAATTAAACAGTTCGTCTTCTCGCATTAAAACTGTATAATCTCAAAACTTACTGATTTTACAGGAGAGTGTTTTAAAGGTTTAACATATTGTGATATTTTTAATATTAATCATCTTTGCAACATTTTTTTTTTATTTTTTACCTGTTACATTATCTGTCTTTTAAAGTAAGATAAAATTATGTATTAATTTTGTTAATAGTAGTCAAAACATAGGTAAACAAAAAAAAAACAAAAACTAAGCTATGCTCTTTTGACAGTGTTTATGAGAAAAATACTGGTGATACCAAATGATTCCGCATATTAACTCAATTTCGAATATTTTTGGAAATTGTACACTTTTAATGCGAAAAGACGAGTTACCGCTTTATTTTGGGTTTGGATAGGAAATCCGTAATGTTGCGTAAAGTGAAGTGTATCTTGCCGATAAAGTGAGACAATAAAAACATATGGGGGGTCACGGTTAATGCCACAAACGTGCCGAACTGTTTGAATTCGAATTTGTTTGCTGTATTGTGTTGTTCGGAAGACGCACGTGGCAAACTAAAAGATTTATTGCGATTTCTCATCGTGGGTGGCATCTGCCTTTTTAATGTTGACTAAAAAATCATGTTTGGGTCGTATTATTGAAAATCACTGGTGGTAGGAGCGGTTGTTAGTCCGCGCGGGTAGATACCACCACCCTGCCTATTTCTGCCGTGAAGCAGTAATGCGTTTCGGTTTCAAGGGTAGGGCAGCCGTTGTAACTATGCTGAGACCTTAGAACTTATATCTCAAGGTGGGTGGCGCATTTAGGTTGTAGATGTATCCAGTAACCACTTAACACCAGGTGGGCTGGAACTCGTCCACCCATTTAAGCAATAAAAAAATATCAAATATTTCTAGTTGAATACAAGTTATTGTTATTCGCTTCAAAAAATTGCACGGCTTTCAATTTGATCCGATTCAATTTATAATCGATTTTGTTATACACACATACATATGTAAATATAGTTGAATATTAATCGGGATTAGCTAGCATTCAGATGAAAGTTACATTAGCTCTTTCTGCTTGTCTGAGCACAAGCGAACGTTAAACAGTACGTACAGCACTTGTACACGTACATATAATATATTAATTACCTTGTTTTTATGACCGTTGCGTACACATAT